GCTAAGCTATATTCAGGTTTGAAATCCTTACAGCCGAATTAGTTCTGATCAAGTGTTTGTATCAATGCTACAAAAAATTTGTTCCTCAGTTTAATAATCGAAATTTGTTTTAAATTTAATATGCTATATTAAAATTATGTTGAACTATATAACGGTTCGATTGCGAAATTGTTTTTCGCAAAATAAAATTATTAATTATTATTTTAAACGGATAGTGTGCATATGTTTGTAAGCTGTCATTCTTCAAACACTATTCAACTGATTACCCCCAGAAAAATATTGTTTTTTTTTTAAATTTTATTTTGTGCTCCCTTTTTAAACTTCACATTTATTTACACAAATCCATTAATTAAATGTCTTAATGTAAGCCATGTTTACGAAGCCGTACATGAAATAGGAAGCTTTAAAATTTTCAATGCTTAAAAAAGCCTTTAATATAAAATAAGCCTTTTTTTTATAAATACTGTTCAAAAAATTTTTTCTTAATATATATTTATATCTCACCCAGCTGGGGGCCCCCTTGGATCAATGGGCACATCGTTTGCGTGCAGCGCATACGCCTTTGCAAATTCTACTATTACTATAATAAAAATAACATGAACATTATTAAGCTACCAAAGAACAAATTAAACTAACATTATTAAGCTACAAAGCTAAGTTTTTTTACTTAGCTCATTAGATCAAATGACAGTTTAATATAATAATGTTACTAACAGAGTAATATGCGTAGTGTAGTTTACTATGCGTTATACATAAGCATAGTGTTTAAAAAATGAATTCGAGAAGTCATTTCGTGACAATCGGCTTTAAACATTTGGAAAACATTGCATTAATCAAAAATATTATTACTTAAAAAGTTTTCGAAAGCTTTTCAGTATGCAAAATTTATTTGCGTTCTATTGCAACAGTATTTTGGGGGGAAATAAATTATACAATGGTAATTATATAATTGTATGGTATCATGTTAAATAAAACTGAATTTCATGATACTGTTTTGCATTTAAGGATACATTGTATAATACTTACCATGCAACATTTCAAAGTCATAACACCATAAGTAATAGTTAACATCAATACAAAATAGCAGGATCTAGTGGATAAGTCAGTCAAGTTTACCAAGATAGTAGTCAGGTTTACCAAACGATTTTATATTTCATAAAAAAAATTTGGAACTCCCATTTCTCTTCCTTTCCGTACATATATAATTATCGTCTGCAAGGAATATTTAATTTCTAGCTGTTATAAAAAAATCCGCTTTTATTTTTAAAAATAATTGAGGATTTTAATTATAATATTTGTTTGATATGATATGAAATGTTTGTTTTTCCAATTACTTCAACTAACCTTACTTTCTCGAAAACAGAAAAAAAAAAGGATTTTATGTATAAAATTGTTTTAATCTTTTAGTTTTTCTCCAGAAGATCTAGTTAAGCCTGCTCCAAAACGCCTTTTCTTCTTCTTTTTTTTTTTCTTTTGAAACAGCTCAAAAAAAATTTTTTTTCTTGTTACATGAGTAGGAAATTTTCAAAATTTTAATTAAATTTGTATCATTGGTAAATAATATACCCTGTATTAAAAAAGAAATAATAACTTTATTAACAAAATAATTGAAAACAAAGGGGGAGATGATTGATGCAAATGACTCCAAAAATGCAACACTTTCCAAATGTTTAAAAAATACAGTAATTGCTTTTCTAATTTAATTAACTTCCTGACCATTAAAATAGCGTAATATGTAAAGATTTACAGAAAATAAAACGCAGATCGTAGGTCGTAGAAATAAATTTACATCATTAAAGAATGTAGCTTGAAATGGGAGAAAGTAATTTTTAGAAGCGTCTTATATTTTAATTTTTATTTAGTTGAAATGGAGTATGGATTGCCGTTTTCTTTGAAAGACTATACCATTTACCAGAGACTATTACTTAATTCCGTGCCTCACATGATCTTCACGCGTTATAGCACTCCTTATTTATTTGATTGACGCCATTTAATTCCCCTTTTTGAATTCACATTTATTTATTTTTTTGGCAGAGGTTGAAGATATTATTAGGATCTTGGCGAACAAAAGGTAGGTATTCTTTGGCCAAGATTAGGATATTTTAGAAATGAGTGGAAGTGTTTAATAAATGAATTTGGGGGCATTGGTCAGTTTCAGTTGTAAGCAGTTTTTTTATCGTTGGTTACGAACCCTTCACCTCGCAGTTTTGATTTTTAGTTTGCTCTGATGAATATGTATGCAAATTTCAATTAAATTTTAAGAAAAATTGAATATTACTAGCACAGTATGAATATCTATTTTTTAGAAAAATAATAATTTACATGAAAAAACTGCATGCAAAACCAAGGTTGGATCTTTTTTTTCTTCTTCTCCCGAACAAAACCCAAAAACCAATTTTTTTTTGTTGGTTTAAACCCGTTTTTTTGGTTTATGTGAAATTGAAGGTTATATAATATTCTTGAAATTGAAGGTTAAATAATATTTTATTCCCATTTAAAAGTAATCGAAGTATTAAAATATATTTCACTAACATCGTTTTTAACTTGATTGATATTTAGAATAAAGAATTAAAAATACTCACTTTTGTACCATTAATATGCAAATGTGATAAAACAGTATAATAACTGAAGATTTTCAGAAACTTAATTTAGTACTTTTCATCATTATTTAATTTGCAAATAATAATTTTTTAGCTAAATGTTTTTTTAGAAATGAGTGTGAAAAGGAAGTTTCCTCTTTGATAATCAGTATGCATAAATATTTCATATTACAATATTATTTAAATTAGTATCATTATTTAGCAGTACAATTTGTAGCATTAATATGAATTGTTAAGATAAAAATTTAATGTTTTTTTTTATTCATTGTTACAAAATTTTAATATAAAAGAGCATGATATATATTCAAGACGAATGTATTTTTTCAATTAAGAAATATTTAAAATTAACAGAACGATGAAAAAAGAATAAAATTGATAAATGGGCAATATAAATATAAACAAGGACAATAGTAAATATAATGTTTCAGTTCTAATTGTTTGTAAAACGAAGAATAAATTGCTTTTTTCATTTATTTTAACATAATAGGGCTCTTGAGTATAATTTTCTAATCGACGCATTGCAGCATTAAAGGGAAGAAATACTTCCAAAATATTTTAAATGAATTATGAATATTTTTTCTTAAACCATTTATTTTCTTTCTTGAAAATAGTATAAAAATTGTAATTTGGAAATATTACAATAATGAATTTAAGCAAACTGCATACATACAATTTTGTTTAAAAAATAATTCTAAAATAATCCTGAAAAAATAAAATTTAGAAAAGCAATATTCTCATTTGATTTATACTTTTTATTGTAGCAAGCATCATAAATAGTTAGAGAAACTTTTTTTTAATTCTTTCAATAATTTAATGATTTCGCTAATTTTAAAAACTAACAGAACCTAGAATTAGTGATAGCCTATATTATTTTAAGAGACCTCGTAATTTCATCTTAAATGTGCTGACATTTAATTAATTTTACTAAGCTAGTTTTGTTGAAATTCGATTTCGACGTAAACATTGAAAAATTGCTGATTTTTGTTAATTTTTTTAAGTAAAGGAATCTCCATTAGCAGTTAACTCTTAACAGGTAAAAATAACTCTTAAACAGGTAAAATAACTCTTAACAGGTAAAAAATGTGATGAAAAAAAACCTTTCAATAGATCTTACTTTTTTTTTCATCTTTTTTTTTCATTTCGCAATATTCAAACTAATAGAAATTTATATAAATAGAAGAAAATTTACCTATTAAAAATATTTAAAATTGCACCAGGCTTGTGTTTTTTTTTTTCCTTCCAAATTGTTTGACCTTAACTGTGGTTTAACCACATTAGTTCAAACCAGCCAACCCTGCACAAAATGTTTTTATGATTGTTAAAGCAACTACTTTTTTTCTGCTAACTGATTTAAAAAAAGTGAAATTATTCCAATAGATTTCTTTACGCATAACATATATTACAGGGGTGGCCAAGCTCCTTGATAGTCGAGCCATTTTTCAAAATTTGAAATTTTTCGAGAGCCGCAATTAAATACGTATATAAAAGGTATGCAAAAAAGGTATTAAAATTTTTTTTACACAAATTATATTTATTGAAAACATATAAATAAAAGTAAAAAAATATGTGCATTGGATTTTAAAATTAAACACATTTATTTTACATCTCTTGATAATTCTTTAAAATTTGATGAATAATTAGTCACAGTACTTCTCAATAATTATTTGAGATGCTGGTTAGTTAAGACTGATCGGTGTTTGGATTTTCCGAATTTCAAAGTGGAATAAAATGATACACATAAGTACATTGTTCCGAATATTGAAAGAATTATTGAAATAATTCGACAAGCAGCCTTTTTTAATTCAGGATACTTCGATTCTGGTACAAATTTCCAAAATTCGGAACATACGGAAAGATAATAATTTTTTAAAATATAATAGCACAAAAATGCAAAGGGAACTCGGGTACATTTATCGAGAGCCACAAATAATCGTTCAAAGAGCCGCAGGTTGGCCACCCCTGATATATTAGGTTTTGGGCATGAATTTTTAGAGCTTTTAAAAATCTTCCATTTTTGTTTAAATCGTCTAAGGAAACGAAATTACTTTTCCGATCAAAATTTAATAAGAATAAAAGAACGGAAATTTTTTAAAAAAAAATTTGAATTGAATAAGAAAAAAAAATTATTGACTAAAAGATTATAAAAAAGTACTATTTGTGAAGAATAAAGTAACAAAAATAATAATTTAAAAAAAAAAACGGAGACATTGAAAAATGTTTGTATGAAGTAAAACTAAATGAGAAAGAAAAACTTAATTATGAGCCAAAGAAAAACTAAATACAGACAACTGGAAAGATAAAAATTAAATGAAAGAGTAAATCATTTTTTTTTCTTCTGCGGAGAAAGAAATACGGAAAAAGAGTCGTTTTGAGGCGGATTAAATCTCGCCAAGATCGAACAGTTATAGCAGTAACCCTATAGGCCATGTGATAATTGTTAGAAAAGTTTAGAAAGGACAGTTCTTGTCCTCTTGATGTCAAGCAGAAATGTGGAAGTTCAAATGTAAATAATTTTAAATGACTAGTGTTAAAGATGGAAGAAACCATCAATTTGGATCGGCTGAAGTTTATCGGTAAGTTTTAATATTTCAGGAAACTTGTTTCGCTTCTGTATCGAGAATGGCGCGATGCTTAAAACTTAAACCAACAGTACTTGTTGATAAACGATTTTGTTCTACTGTTTACTGTCGATTTTGTTCACGCTGTTGTTCTGTTGTTTACGGGTGCTTCGATAAGTCAATAATCGCAGGATTAACTTGTTTTCAAATAAATTTTTAAATAATTTTTGTTTAAGGGGTTATAATTTCATTAATGATAAGATTTTTGATGTTTTAAAGCTCCTGGTATCCGAAATCTTAAGAATTGGAAATTTCAACAACAATTTCTACAACTTGCAAATTCAATTGTTCTAGTTTTTTTTTCTCCAAAAAAAGAACCAAATAGAATAATTAATCAGCATACTAATATTGTAATTTGTATATATAAAGGTTTTTTTTTTTAAAATTTTAATTTGTTGTCACACTGTGTTATGACAAATATTACTCTTGTGTTTATCATATTATAAATAATGTCTCATCATGATACTATTATATACCATGGTATGTTTATGTACGAATTATTTATTTATACTATTATTTTAATTTATATATTTATTTGTTTGATATCATTTACAAAGTTTGCAAAATGTTTAAAAAACTTTATTCAACTAAAATGTTTACCTTTTTAGCTGAATAAAATTTCACTTGTTCTATTTATTTTCAAATAGAATTTAACTGAACCTCCAATTATTTTATAATAATTTTTTAATTTGTACCCATAAAATAGGTCATTTTTAAATTTAATTTAATACCACTATGCATTTACTCTTATTTAGCATGACATGTTTACCATTTATATCAAATTATTTTTCCAGATTGAATATTCAAGATTCAATTATTATTAATAATTGCAATGGTGTTTATTCTTTCAAATAATTTGTTTACTATTATTATTTATCAAACGCTACTTGCTAAGTATGTAAAATATTTATAAGTAAGGACTTGTATGCAACTTAGCTGTTTGCACTTTTAATAGCTCGATTTTTTTTCAAATAGGAATGCTAAATTGGTGCTCAAAAATCTCCATTTTTGTGCAATAATATGTGCATCATTCACAATGTTTTACTTTAATCATAGGAGAATAAAATTTTACATACTGTTTAAATGTAAGAAAATTATGTGCTGCACTAATGATTATAAACATATGTTTAGATGCATAATCATAATGTTTATATGGTTAATCATATCATGTAATGTAAATTTAAAATACAATTATGTTCAATCAATATTGGTTTTCAATGTTACACTTTCAGTTCGATATAATAATAGGCATCGAGATCTGGCAAAGATGTGCCAATGTTGCTTGATATATATAATATATTTTTTCTATAATTTCTCTCTCCATTTGTTTTCTACGAAAACTATTGTGGATTTATTCTGAAAACAAGGTCTTTATGTACAGCTCCAGCTGAATTAATTACTCTTTCTTTGATACATCAATTAAGTTTGAAGCAATAATGCACCTGGTGGCAATATTATTTGTGTTTAGTATGTTATTTTATTTATTTATTTTAGGGACAAAATATCTTTGACTATTTTTTCTTTAATGTTCTGATTTTAACCAGCATTCTACAAATAATTATAAACCATTTTTTTCATGTTATGAAATATAGACAGTAAATGTGCATGACATATTCTTCCTATTTAGACAATTTAAATCGGTGGTCTCCGGTCACACACAATCTGGTCACAATCACAGGTCGGTGCCGGTCCATGGATTACATGGTACAGGACCACCCAGAAAACAAAAAAGATGTTTCACCATTCAAAAAAAATTATTTTAAAAAAATTGTTAAAAAAATTATTTTAATTTTATTTACTGTGGTGTATTTATCTCGGGGTTTGTGCAACTTTCAATGCAAAAGAGGTTACTCGGAAACTAAGAGACTTCACCTAAAGCCGCACCAATACCTCATGTTATTGTATTTTATTTTAAGGTTATTAAATGCAATTAAGTTAATATTTTTAAATTAGAGCAATCTAAAATACAAACAAAACACCTCTTCTTCCAATCGGGCCACAGTAAAGGTATTGAATGTTGACCAGTCCGCAGCATTCTAACTTGTTTAGTTACAGAGTAACTTTGAAATTGGAAATTCACCGCAGAGCAATTAATTTTATTGGGCAGCTGTATTTATACCATACTTCTTGAATTGAATTCATTAAAAAAAATTTCTAATTTTTTATCCAATTTCTCAATAACAGTAACAAGAACATTAGGAGACTTTTTTTTTATTACCAACAGGGCAAAACGATATTTATTGCCAAGCATCATAGGTGCTTCTTTTGTACAAGGTGAATGAAGGTTTTCTTTCCAGTCGGAAGTCGTGTTTGATAAAGAAAACATTTAACATTGGTAAAGCATCAACTGACTTTGTAGTTCGCAAAAGACAGCAAAAACATTGAAGAAATATGAAAATAAATTTTAGACTATTATTTGGAACCAGAATTTGTTATTATAGTTTTCGAGTAGTTACATTTGTCAAAAAAATTTAGTAAGAAGGATTAGGTTAGGATCTATGTTGTGAAATTATATTTGAGTGACCTAATAGTGTTGTCTGACATTGCTTTTTGTGTGAATTTGTTTCGTCAAATAATTCACGAGAAACTGCCTGACATTTTAAGTATTTCCTTTTTATTCAATACAAACATTTTATCTGAATGGTGATTAACAATAGATGCTCATATTTTTTTCTTACACACTAGGAATATAACAATAAATCATAATATCAATTTATTTTTAATATTTCCTTTGAAGAAAATATTTTTTTAATTTGAAACAAGTCCTACCTTTTTGCGAAGCACTCAAAATTGTTTTGAGGAGCATGAAGTGGTTTGCAAAGCACATTTAGACAAAGCACATTATCGTTCTTTTAACTGACAGTTCATGTGCAAGTACTAAATAATTGACCTAAGAAAGATTTTTATTTCTTATGAGCTAGCTGCACATTCAGTCTTCCCGATGAGCAGACCTAGTGCGTTCTCCAGAAGTGGTATCCACTCTTTCAGGACCACCACAATGGGTGAGATACCGTTGGACACATAAGAAAGATAGTTCACTTAATTTTAAACACATTGTTGACCAGTGAGGAGTTAATTTGTCTTTTCATGCCCAAGCGTGAACTAATAACAAATTAATTAGTCATTGGTCAACAACAATAGGGCTTGAATTCAATATTTTTGATATTTTACTTTACTTCCATATTCTATTACAAAACAAGAGCCGATGACTTGAATAAGTTTCTGTGTAAAATTGTGGGTCAACTTAGTGTTAACTGCATTTTTATCCAGTGTTCTTGATTCATAAGTTTATGATTCATAAATTTATAACTAAGTAATGAACTCAGAAAATAAATAATGTTATGGAAAGAATTGTTACTTCTGGAATATTAGAACTGAAACATCTCTTGTAATTGTCCAATACATGAGTTAGCTCATTCCTAACCTGGGTGAAAAATGCTTAATTTAGTTGACTACGTGAAAAAGTTTCTACTTGGAGTTCATAATAAAATAAATAATAAGCAGTGGCTATTTTAAGTTATAACTTGTTCTGAAAATTATCTGGTCATTTGGGTGGGGTGATAATTGAATATGATTTTAAGTACAGAACTTATTTATTTTTTATTATATTTTTATCTTAACATAATAAAAGTTAAACATTATAAAAATAACATTAATAAAATTTAAAGAAAGAAAGAAAAAATGCTTTTTATAATAATTATTTTTCTCACCAAATTAAAGAATATTTACTGCAATAATGGAATAAGCACTTCCAGTTTTTTAGATTTTTTTCCCTTCAAATTTCTCGAGAGAAAAATGAGATAATGAGAGAACTCAAAAGGAGCTTAGGTCTTGAGATTTCTAATACTTATCAATAAGTTGTATCTTGCTAAAATTTTTTTGTTGTTATTTATGCAATAACTCCATAACAATTTTGAAAAACTTAGCTTTAATGTTTATGGAAATATGAAATATTTTTATAAAGAATTTTTCTGCCTTCCGTTTTTATACTATAACTGTAAAAAAGTTACATAAAATTAAACAAAATTTTTCGAGCAATTTTTAACAAATAATGAAATTATTTTAAAATTTGAAAAATAAAATTAGTTAAAAAAATTGCGCAAAGTATGATCAATTAAAGAAGTCTTTTGATTCTGCGCATGAGCTGTAAACTATTGATGTATGTATAGAATATGTTTTTTTTTTCCTTCATAATTTTGTGTGTATTTGATAACTTAAAAAAAAGTTTGATTTGAATATCTTGAAAATTTAGTGAGAACACTTTGAATGGTAAATAGTTTTCCTGACATTTTACCGATTATCCGATCGGGACCATCGCTATTCCGGATAACTGATTTTTCCGGTTTTCTGAATCGCTACAAAAAGCCGTTTTTTTATTGTTAAACCCAACTAAAAAAAAAATTTTGGAAATAATCTTTAAAAGAAGAAAAAACGATGAAGTAATACACTAATGATTATTTCCAAAATGATGGTAAGGTAAAAATCTTTCAAAAAAAGAAAGAAAAATCCTAAAATCTTATGAGGAAAAAAAATTTTTTTTTTAAAAATAGCGGGAAAATTCATCGAATTTCGTTCCGGTTTTTTGATATTCCGGTTTTCTGATTTCCGGATAACGGGTTCTGTACTGTATTTTGCAGCATGAAACAAAATTTAAAATTAAATTACAACATCCTACAATAATTGTCCGGACTAGGAATTATCGTTAGGTGTTCTCATAAAGAAAGAAAGCATGCTTAATAAAATACAATCTTATTTGATAGTACAAAATAAAATTTGAGCAAAACCCTTGCCAGTATTCTTTCTTTNTTTTTTTTTTTTTTTTTTTTTTTTTTTTTTTTTTTTTTTTTTTTTTTTTTTTTTACACATTTTACAAAAACTACTTAGAAAATAGCTAATAGTGTTTCTGTAATATTTATTTTTCTCATTCTACTATGCTACTATCACGTTTTTTATTG